CCGCCGTCACCGGCGGCCGCCTCATTGCCTTTGAATCGGCAGGCGGCCGAGCGCGGCTTGGACGCGCGGCCCTTGAAAACATCATCCCACAGCAGCAGCGGCCACCCGCCGACGGCGGCGACGGGCGCGCCCTCGGCCGGCCCGCCGTAGGGCTGGAGTTGGGACAGCAACGCCAGATCTGGCAGCCCAAAGGCCCCGCCTGAGACGTCCCAGCGCACTGCGCCGCCGCGGCCGGCGCGATTGCCGGCGAAGCCGCAGGACAGAGCTGTCTGCAGGTACCGGCCGCGCGCGAGGAGGGCGCCGCCCTCTCCCAACGCACCGCTGACGTCATCGGGGGGCACGCCCGCAGCCGCGCCCCCGGCCCGGTTCCTGTTCAGGGACGTCTTGTGCATGACGAGCGTGTTCCACTTGGGAGCGCTCGGGGCAAGGCTGCAGGCGTGCACGCCGCCGCCGCCGCCGGCCGCCCAGTTGTGCTCGAAGGACGAGCCCTGAATGTATGCGACCGCGTCACCGAGCAGCGTCAGACCCAGGGCGCCGCCAAAGCCGGAGGCCGGCTGCGGACCAGGCCCCTGCGATGAAACCTTAGAGGGCTCGCAAGCGCGCCGCAGGACGGATGCTCTGGGCAGGTGCGCGGCCCAGATCGCCGCGGCGTCTGGCGGGGCGCGGCCGTGGGCCTGGTTGCCAACAAATCGGCTGTCGAGGACCCGCAAGATGTGGGTCGCATCCCATTCGAAGTGGAATCCGCCGGCGTCGGCGGCCGCATTGCCTGCGACGTGCACAGCGCTGACAAAGACGTCGCAGCTCGCGTCGGCGCCGCCGCTGTCTGCAGGGCCCCCCTTCAGGCGCCAGCAGTCGCTGCTGCTGATTCCGCGCGCCATGAGGCCGCCGCCCGCCACCGCCGCCCGATTGCCCAGGAAGCTGCTTCCCCTGAGCTCCCGCAGCCAGCCGTCGCCGCCCACAAACACTGCGCCGCCCAGGGCCGCCGCGTTACCCTCAAAGGAGCCGCCGCGAATGGCGAGCACGCCGCCGCCGCCGCCGCCACTGCTGCTGCTGCTGCTGCTGCTGCTGCTGCTGCTGCTGCCGCCGCCTCCCCCGAAATGCACCGCCCCGCCCGCGCCGCGCGTGCCGGCGGAGCAGGCGACAAAGGCGGAGTCGACGAGCGACAGCGAAACGCTGCGCCCGGCCGCCCGCACCGCGCCGCCGCCGCCGTCGTAGGTGCAGTTCAGGAACTCGCAACGTGCGATGTGGGCCTGCTGCGCTGCGCCGCCGGTCAGCAGGACGGCGCCCCGCGGGTGGTGGTGGAACCGGCAGCGCTCCAGCGATATGTCAGAGCCCGAAAATGCCACGGCCCCTCGGCGATTGCCGACAAACTCGCTGCCCGACACGCGCAGCACGCTGCCCGGGCCGCCGGCGACGGCGGCGCCGCCGGGGGCGCCGGCGGCGGGGGCCGCATCAAATCCCGTTTGGGCTCGGGGCGCGGCGCCGTCACCCCTGAAGATGCAGCCCTCCACCACTGCATTGACCCCGGTCCCCAGAAAGAGGGCCTGCCCGTTGCCCGAAAACGTGGCACCGCGCAGCCTCAACCGTGGCAGCACAGCGCCGTTTCCTTCATGCACGAGGCGCGCGGCGCTGCCGCGGGGTCGCCTGGGCGTTGCCGCCGCTGCAGCCACTGCCACCGCGGATGCGCTGCAGTTTGCGAACGTCAGGTGCTCCAGCACCACGCCTGACGCACCACTGTGAGCGTTGGAAGCCGAGGAGGCATGTGCAACGGCACTTTTTGATCAAGTTTGAAGCCCGCACGCTAAAACCAACTGCGTGACGCGCTCCTTCATGCGTGGTGCCCCTAGCTGAATGCAGCCTGCCGCTTGGCGCTGCAAGCAAATGTCACCCGCTCACCTGATCAGCAGGGCGCTCTGTGCACCTTCAACACAGCTGATGACGGTTGAGCCCGCAGGCGCCCCTACAGCTGCCGATCCCCACGTATCCTGCGCCCCCGCGCCCTCGACGGAAAGCGCGCCCGTGATCGTGATCGCCCTCGGCACCGCCAGCGGCGCCGCCCAAGGCGGCACCTCAAGCACGCCGCCCTCTGGCACTACCTGCAGCAAGCCGCCGTCCCCGAGGCCGGCGACCGCGGCGTCCCAGCGGGCGATGACCTGCTGGCTCGTGCCCGACAGCACGGCCGTCCTCCTCGGGCGGGGGTCGACCTGCGCGCGTTGGTGAGCGGCGCTGAGCACACCCCTGAGCGAGCAACAGGCCCGACGTCCCATCAGCTCCCCTTGTGTGCCCATTGTTCAGGTGGCGTTTCGGGCCAACCCGCCAGCCCAGCCTAACGGTCCCCCACACCCCAAAAATGTCTGGCCTCACCCGCTGTGCCAGGGTGACTGTAGTGCGATTGCCCGCCCCAACCAGAGCGTGCACTCTCCTGCCCGGCGCCCATGCCAAAAGGGCAAGCATGTCGTCTGCGGCACTCGCGCCGACGAAGACGGCTGGGATGGCGGCCACCTGCTCCGGGGGCCCCAGGCTCAGCAGCTGCCAATACTGGTCGCCCTCGACCCCTCCAGCCAGGTACACTACGGCGGCCGACGCGCCGGCCAACTTGGCGTTGCGCATCTGGACGCGCGTTTTTTTTGCAGGAATGCAGGGGTGGGTTGAGTGTAGCCGGTGCCGTGAGCGAGCGCTGACAGCTGGGCCTTGGCGGCGGTGCGAGATGACAGCACTACGCTGCCGGCAGCTGCATGTGCGACACGCCGGCTGTCGCTGCGTGGTGCTGGCAGCGAGGCAGCTCGTCTGGCGTGCGTTGGCGAAAGCAGCAGTCCGGCGTCCCACCTTGGTCTGCAGGTCGCACGCCAGTCCATACTCCTGCTGCACGAGGGCAACCCATTGCTGCCGCCGCTCTTCAAACGTGAACCGGCCGCAAGCGTCTGGCGGGTCTGCGGCCTGACCGGCCGGCAGGCGGGCAGCGTGCGCGCGGCGCGGCGTCGGTGGTGCAACTGGCATCTGCCACCTTGGTGACCCTTGAATACACAAGGTTATGCAGTACCAGGCATGACACACCCCGGCGCAAGCGGCCATGACTGCGGCAATGGACACTAGTGGGTGCGTGAGGCTCCAGAAGGCCGCTCGGCAATGGCTGGGCGGGTCGAATATCCAGGCGGCCGACGGCACGCACCAGCAGCAGGCCGCGGATGCCGCCGCTTGGTATGCTCGGATGGAGGGCGGCCGGAAAGCTGTTGACAGAGAACGCCTAAGCGGGGGAGGCGTGGCGAGCAGGGTCATTGCTCGCGCGAGGCAGGGCGCTCCTGCGCCGAAACCAGCGGGTAATGCTGATGTGTCGCGACGTGTCCGGCGACGGAGTTGGTTAGCGCACCTCTGGCGCCGCACTAGCAAATAACGACAAGGCCGGCAGCGCTGCAGCCGCGAGCCACATGAGGCGCAGAAGGATGGCAGGTGCCATTGGGGCGGCTGCGTGTGCTGCCCACGTCGGTTGACTGGACGATGTGCCGCCCCGGCAAGGTGGTAGTGGGAGCCACCTTGGGGATACCAGGTGTAGCAACAGCGTTCACTCGATCTTCATCCACATTGTCGCACCGCTGCCTGTCAATCACCAACGGATGGACCGCGTCCGGAGTACCACACGGTCATGACCTCGCTTGTACGGTTACCGTGGCGACTTTGCGATGTTCTTTGTTGTGAGCATCCATCCCAACCCCGGCTATCCACGCGGACGGAAGTTGCTGGTGGGCGTGTGCGGCGCTTATTACGGTAGGCCGATGTCCCCCGCTCTGCTGCCTGCCGTGTTTTCCTGCCTGGCACAACAGCAGACGCCTCATGTGTTACCGAGCCTTGCAAATAGAAGAAACAACGCCAGAACAACCAGCACCGGCAGCCAGCTACAAGGCGGCAAAGGTATGCATGTCATGGTCATCACACCCAACGGGCGCCTCACGCGCGCTTTGGCCGCCGCGCGCACGTGGCCGGCCACCCACAGCACGCGCACACCGGCCAACGCCGCCAGCCGCCGCTGCCAATCCCGCTGCATGTTGCAGGCGTAAGAGGTGGGCTGAGCGGCAACGGCGGCCAGGCTCGCCAGCGTCACCCGTCGCAGTCGTCTCGCCGTCATCGCGTCACCGGCGAGCCCCTCGCCTCAGCCCCAAGCCCAAGGGGCCCGCGCGGGCGTGCACCCCGCCGACGCCACCGGCGCTTGTCGCGCGCGTGCACACGCCAGGCGGATGCGCGGGGCGCGCTCAACACCAGATACCCTGCCCCGCCGTAGGCTCAGCGCTGCGGCGGCCGCTGCGGAAGGGGGGGAAGGGTGCCAGGAATGTGGTCAGACGAGCCGCGGCAAAATGCAGATAGGAGACGAGGGCCCTGCACATGACGACCGAAGTCAAACTGCCGTGCGCACAAGTATGTAGCGCAAATGAACGGGCACCCACACAGGGGTGTCACAGAGTTCATGGCCGCGGGACGCCTGACGCCATGCGCCGCACCTGGAAAAGCTGGCCATACTGGCTGAGGTGCTGCTGCTGCAGCAGCTGGTACTGCTGCTGCACCTGCGGCGGCAGCGACTGGAACTGCGCCTGCGCCTGCGCCGCCTGCTGCTGGCGCTGCAGCTGCTGCTGGCGCAGCTGCTCCTGCTGCTGCTGCTGCAGCAGCGCCTGCTGCTGCGCGGCCTGCTGCTGCTGCAGCAGCAGCGCGGCCTGGCTGTAGCCAGAGCCGGCCGCGGCAGCGCCAGCCAGACCGGGGTACTTGGCCTGCCCAGGGGCGCCGTAGGCAGGGGCGCCGCCTGCGCCGCCGCCCGCCGCGGCCAGCTGCTGCTGCAGGCGGTACTGCTGCAGGTACTGCTGCTGCAGCGCCTGCGCCTGCGCCTGCTGCGCCTGGGCCTGCTGCTGCTGCAGCTGCTGCTGCCGCTGCGCCTGCGCCTGCAGGGAGGCGAGGCTGGGCTGACCACCAGGGTACTGCCCCGGCTGCCCCAAGCCCTGCCCCGGCGGCATCCCCGGCCGCCCCGGCGGCCA